ATGGGACAAGAGGCCCAGGAGGTATGAGAAATTTCTCTCTGAGGAAATGCTAAGTCAACAGGCAGCTGCGGGCCCATTTTCATCATCTGTCAAATGATCACAATATAACAAGGGCGTCTTTTTTTTTCTTCCTCTTCTTCCTGTTATCAAAGGAACATCTGGTTTTTATTTGAGTGCTAACCAGGGCAAAAATAGCCCAGCGTGACGTGCTTGTCCCTTGCAAGATGTTGACTGGTGAGATATCAGGATGTCTAAGCATCGGTCCTGTCCGATAATGACAGCACGGGGGACCTTCCCATCAGCGAGCACTGTGGCCTTCAGCTCTGAAGGCTTCTGCAAGCCACGTACACTGTGCTTAGGATCCAGGTCATAGTGGTGTGCTGGTGCCTGAAATGCTTTTCCTGCCTGAAAGGCTGCAAAACATTGACATTTCACCCTGGCCTGGCGGCCTGGGCATGGAAACCACCCCCAGTGTCTTCACGAGCCTTTTCTGCATTCAACAGAAAGAACTCTGATATGTGCTGAGGGGCCGAAAGGGGCTCTTTTGGGGTCCGATTGCAAAAGGACAGTAAGAACCTTGTATTCTTTTGGAAACCTTAGAGCTTGCACTTACTATCTTTATTCTTGGCGATTCTTAAGAAAAGCTCATTTTCCTATTTTTTCTTTTAAAAAAATGGGCCCGTGATTATTTGAATGTTGGAAAGAAGGTAGCGTTTGCCACTGGTTTGGCATTTCTGTGCTTTGATCTGATTCAAAAACATTGGAAGGCGCGTTCCCTCGTTTTTCAAACGAGAAAGATGAGGCCAGAGCCAGAGCCTGCCTTTGTTTACCTAGACAGCAAGTGACATGCCTCTCCCTACCGTGTTAACACGGCACTGCTGTTCCGTGCGATTTGTAGTCTGGTTTTATTTTTTTGCTGTTATTAATGGTTGGAATTACTCTAAGTAAGCCTTGAAATCAAACTCAAACATTTCCCCTTTAACTGGTTTCTGGGAAGGAAGGTGGGAAGGCACCCAGGAAGGGAGCGAGGGAGAGAGCATGGTTCTCCTTGCGCTGGTGAAAATTTTCAAATATAATTTTCAAATATATTTTAGTCTAGTGGTTTTTGTTGTTGTTGTTGTTGTTGTTTGTTTGTTTGTTTGTACCTTAGTCTATATTAAAAGAGACATAGTGCTTTCCAGGAGGGACTAGAAGTAACTCGATGTCACCGGAGGCCTGCCTGTGCTGAAGTAACGTTCCATGCTGCCCCGAGACAGCGAGCGTGTCTCTATTCACTAAGTCCTTCCCCATGCGGCTCTGGGCTAAGCGGTCCACTGCGGTACCTCGTTCGTTCCTGATCGCCGCCGTGGGAGCGCGCGTCTCGTAAGATCCCCATTTTCCAGATGAGGAGACTGAGGCTCAGAGAGGCGGAGTGGTTTGGGCGGAGGAGCTGGGATGAACTCGAGGAGCGCGACTGTGTAGCCGAGTAGGTCTCACGTGTGACGGGGCCACTCGTTAGCCACCGTTGCTGGGCGGCCTGTCGTCGCTGCGTCTGGAATCTGGTTTGAGCCTGTTTTCAAAGTAGCCGCAGAGAGAAAAGGCTGAGTTTCAACTATTCTGTGAGTTACACTGAATGTGATCTCAGTGTCCTGAGAGAAAAGAAATGCACACAGATAAGTAACTTTCCTTTAGGTCGATCATAACCATTTTCAAAATATAATGAAAAATCCCATTTCAATCTTAACTACATCAAAAATTAAACATAATAAAATTAAATTTTTTTTCTCAAATTAATTTTTTCCAATTAATATCCCAAAGAAGCTTTCTTAAAACTTGACAAAATGGTTTTGAATTTTATGTGATAATAGCCAAAAATAGCCAAGAGATATTTCTAAAAGAAAAATAACATGGGAGACTTTTACCATTAAATGATAAACTATGTTATAAAGTGACTAGAGTTTAAGTGGTGTGGCGGTAGAACCAGAATTAACAAAATAAATAAATAAGAATACTCACCAAACAAAAGTCATTTACCTATAAATACTTCATATATGACAAATACGGCCATTTCCAATGCAAGAGGAGGTGATGCTTTTCTAATAAGCGATGCTGGCATTGCCATCTATAAAATATATTTTAAACAGAGAAAAAAAAATTAAAGCTAATCAACAAACCACAGATGCTGCTTTTGGAGCAGACTCACCCTTTGGGTGAGCCTGAAAGCTGTCAGCAGCACCTCATTCCCTGGTGGGGAGGCCTGGCATTGCAGGAGACCTTGGATTTCAGGCCTGGCATTGTAGTAAACCTGAGGAGCTGGGCCCGAGCCCTGGCACGGCCGCTTATCAGCCAGGCCCTTAGGAAGTGTGCCCGGGTCAATTTCCTCATTTGTGAGATGTGTATAGTAGTGGTGCCCACGGCATGGCTGACGGCGAGTATTAAATGAAGTGATGGTGCCAAGTTCTTGGCAAACTGCGAACTCTCATGAAATGCTGCCAAGACCATGAAATGCTTTCATGGCTCGCCATGCTTTCGCCTTCACAGAGAACTCGTTCTCAGAGTTTCACGGGAGGCACGGACTCCAGATGTTGGATTCTGCACAACAGCGGTCGCTCGTCCTGGGGGTCCCTGCAGGTGGGAGAATGGGGACAGGTGGAGGGTGTGGCAGAGACTTGGCTCCAGGCCCTGGGATGGCGACAGATGAACCGGCTCTCACTTTGGAGATGAAATTCACTCTTCAATTATAGCGTTTCCCCTCCAGACATCAATCTAAACGTGGAGGGCACCGAGGCTTCCATTTTAAGACCATAATTGGCAAGTTTGGTCCTGAAACCCCATCATACCTCTCCTTTGCAATTGCAGTGTACCCATCATATAAAAATATGCAGTTCAATGTGGTCGTGTTGCAAAAATGCCACTTGTACTGACCACGAAAATAGCAACACGCGGAGGATGCTTAAGAAAATGAGAGCCCACGTCTCTTGCGGGGAGACAGGTCCCAAGTTCAGAAGGACACGGCTCTTGATTCCAAGGATGACCCCACGGCTCCAGGACGGGCATGGGGGCCCACCTTCCTCTTGCCGACTCCGTGTGAAGCCTGCTTGTATTATTCAGCGACTTCTCTGGATAAATCTTTTCCTCTCTCTTGTTCTGTTTTTATTTAAGAAACAAACAAACAAGGTTGTGGATTGTTCTGGGACTTTATTTACTATTCCAGTGGTAGCGACCCCCCTCACCCCCCAGTGTGCCAGGTGCCAAAGACAGGTTTGAGATGAAAATGACTAGCTTAGTCACACAGCTAAAAGCACGGTGCTATTAAGGACAGTGGCCTTTTGCTACCCGGGGGTAATTTTCTGGAAAGGATGCTCAGCTACATAGGAAGCTCAGAAGGGACAGAAAGAATACTGGCTTGGAGCCAGGAGGCCTGGTCGATCTCTGGCTTGGTCACTGTTCAGCTGTGTTCTTGAAAAGTCACGTAGCTTCTCCTCATTGGTGAAGAGGCGTTGGAACTCCTATGCCACCCCTCACTCGGGGTGGATCGCATGGGAGGATGCTTTACAGACGAGGGAACTGGGGCAATGGAGTCACCCCCCGAAGGGCTCAGCTCGTAAGACTGCCATAGTGTGCTGTTAGCTCAAGGTAGATGCTCACAAATATTTATTATAAGGCCAAACTACTGTGGTCTTCTGGGGAAAAAGTCAAAGACGAAAAACAAAAACAAATAGATTTTTGCTGTTAATGATCAATGATGTGCCCACTGAACAGCTCCCTAGAATGTTCTAGAATCAGCATTCTCAAGTGATCACAGAAGCTTATGTTGAAAGGCAGCATGTTGCCCTCTGTAATGCTATTTGCGGACAGAATTATAATTAATGCTCCTGTCGACCAAGCCCCATGGCTCTTCCTCACAGTGGAAGCTTAAGCCCCCTGTTCAAGGTCACCTCTGTGTCCACAGGGACACAGATGCTCTGGTAGATCTCTTCACGTCTGCCAAGCATCTCTTTGCAGCTACATCCCTTGGTCTAGCCGCGACAGCATGTCCTACGTGCAGGATGTGGGAGGCGGCACCGGGGAGCGGTCAGAGGGCACAGGCTCTGTGGATGCACAGACCTAGTTTTGACCCTGCTCCACCCTTGCGAATGGCACGCTCTTGGGCAAGCTGTTGTAGCTTCTCTGTGCAGCCCCGTCTTCACCTCTGAAACAGGATGTCTCAGCCGGGGTTTTCCAGGAAAGAGACTCTGTGGTGAAGATTTGCATGCAGGGAGTTCGGGGCGCAGTGCTCTGGGGAGCGAGGGAACAGGCCTGGGCAGGGGGAGTGGTCACACGGGAGCTGAGCAGTGGCCCCACTGATGCCTCAGTGAGCTCTGAAGTGGGGCTGGCTTCAGCACTGTCCCACCTTGAGGCAAGGGGGCTGGGCCTTTGGGTACCCCACATGGACTAGTTTTCGGATGCAGGCTGACTCTGGGGAGGGTCAAAGTCAATTCCTGGAGAGGGACTCAGCTGGAAGTCGTCAGCCACCAACTTCCCAACGGTTGGAGAAATGGGAGCCTCGGTCCTGATGGTGGCCTGGGCAGCGCACCACGGCATCCACTGTGGGGACTAATGGTCTCCCCCGCAGCCTAGGGGAGGACTCAGTGATACCGTGTCTGCGAAGACCAAACACAGCAGCACGTAGCAGCCCAATGCATCTGTTGTTATCGTCATCACGTAGTATTAGTCTAATTATTCTGTTATAACAAGTATGTTATGTTTGTCTTGACTTCTCACCCCTTCTCACCCATGGCTGCTTAAAAGAAACAGCCATGTTTTTGTTAGCTTATTTGTTTGTTTGTTTACCTTTGTATTCCTAGGCTTGACCACAGTCCTTGGCTCATAAAAAACTTAATAAATCGTTGTAGCGTGGAGAGATGGACACAGGAATGGCGACCCAGAGGAGGGTCTTCTGGGGCTTTGGGTGGCTTTCCGCTGACCTCATGCTCTAAGTGAACCTGTGTGTGACCAGCATCCCCTGCCTTCTCTCCTAGTCGCTATGGACGTGTGGCAATCCCTGGCTGTCTCCTCGGTAGTCGTTGACCCGTCCATCAGGAACTTCGATGTGGCCCACGTCAGCACTGCCGTCACCAGCGACTTCTCTGCTGCCCGAGACCTCTGTTTGTTGGGTAAAGAGAGGAGTTTGCATCCCTCCCCCAGACAGTGGGGTTACTCGGGGTGAGGTCCCTGTCGTATGAGTGCTGCTCAAGGTTCTGACCTCAGAAACACATAGGAGACCCCAAGATAACCTGGGGCGCCTGGCAGGAAGGGGTCAAGCTGGGGAGAAGAGCCTGTGGTCTTCTCATCCTCCTGCAGGGTCAGCCCACGGTCAAGGTCTCCATGGGGATACGCCACACAGACAATGAGCGACATTGAATTAGGTGGGAGGAAGGACCTAGGGGGCTAGCGTGAGGTGGAAGCTGAGTGGAAGCTGTGACGACTGGGCTAAGACACACGCTTATCCTGGCCAGGCTCACGGGGCAAAGCGAAGACCTTTGCGTAAAACTCAGATTTTAAGAGACATTTTTCAGCACAGTATAAAGAACTTTCTAACAGGCAAAGCTGTCCACAAATGCATACTTCCTTTAGAGGGTATTTAACCCTCACTGGTATTTCAACAAAAGCTAGATGACCACTTGATAGAAATATTCTACAAAGATGTTAGCGTCTGCAAGAGCCCGGGGTTAGAAAATATTCACACTGCTCCAATTCTAAAATTCCATGAATCTCCTCCCCTACGAGGTCAGATAACAATATGCAATTCTTACATACAGGGCTGCCATGCACAGCTATACCGGCTGTGAGCTGCACAGCTCTGGGTGGGCCATAAATAAGGACTTTAGGGAGTGCATAGCTTGCCCAAGTGAATGAGGCAGTTCTATTTTCAAAGCTGTTTTTAAGATGAAAACCCTGTATGCCATGGAGAATTTAAATTGTCTAGTGCGGGACCTGGTGCATAGGAGGTGACATAGGCCCTGGAGGAACACGGTAGGTATGACGATGGAGGGGGGACGAGGCCGAAGAGGACAGCGAGGGCTGGAGCATGGAGAGCCTTGTCCTTGTCCAGTGTAGAGTAGGTGCTCAGGTGGATACATGAGTGATTGCATGGCTGCATGGATGCATGGACGTATGTACGGGTGGATGAGTGGGTGGATGGATGCGGATGAGTGGGTGGGTGAGTGATTGCCTGGCTGCATGGATGCATGGACGTATGTACGGGCGGATGAGTGGGTGGATAGATGCAGATTAGATGTTTAATTGTCTGCATGATTGGATGGATGCGTGGCTGACGTGGCATCTCTGAGGCCCAAGTCTCAGTCTTCTGTCCTCTCCCTGCAGAGTGTTCCCGTCACCAGGCCTGCCTTGTCACGACTCTGCAGACGCGACCTGCTGCTGTGAGGTGTGTGTTCTACGCTGACACTCAGTTCTGTACACACAGCCTGCAGGCCCAGAACTGCCGACTTCTGGTCCGTGAAGAGGCCACCTATATCTACCGGAAGTCGAGTAAGTCCGTACCTGTGAGCCTGGGCACGGCTGAGAGGGACTGTCTGAGCACATGGTGACTTGTAGGCAGTGGCTTTTGAGGCCCTTAAGGGAAAGTTGGCCGAGGTTATCCTGGTGATGCTCACCTGGGAGGGACTGGAGGAGGGCGGGAAACCTCACCTCTAACGTAGGGCTTTTCTGTGCCGCCTTTATTCATCCATTCCTTTGGGTTACAGAAGCCATGTTGACCTTGGAGTTTCTTAAGACGATGATTAAATAGGCCACGCTCTCTGACTGCTCTGTGGTTTAGAAAGTTCTGTCACATGCCTTCTCTCATTTGGTCCTCGCACTCATCCTGACATGGAGCAACATGAGGAGTGTAGCCCATCTTAGAGCTCGGGAGCCTCTGGCCCAGAGGGGTTAAGTCACTTCTCTGACTTCACGCAGCCAGTGGTGACGGAACAGGGACCCGAAGCCAGGTCTCCTAAGCCTGGGAGCCATCTTCTCCCGCAAAACCATGTTGCCTAATGATCACGTTACAGTCCGTCTGGAGAGGTCAGCTGCTCCAGGCTCGTTTAGTTTGCAGATATTCCATAAGCTGCTCCTGTGTGTCACACACTGTGTTAGGTGCTGGGGACACAGGAATGAAGCAGGCAAGGGGAGAGCGACCTATAAATCCGTCACTAAGTGAAATAGGTAAGATCCGTGTCACAGGACGCACCGGAGCTGGGGGCCCAGGGGACACGCCTCCCCCGTGGAACATGCTTATTGGATGAATTAATACCTTTTTAGAAATGTTGGCTGTGTCCGCCATCTTATCTTTCAGAGAAGAGCCTGGCAAACTTTGTCTGTTAAAGGCCGGATGAGAAATATTTCAGTCTCTACAACACGCGTCTCTGTTCCAACCACTCGGCTCTGCCACAGAGGCAGGAAAGCAGCTGCGGACAGCGCGATATGTAGATCCGTGGGCATGGCCGCGTGCCGACGAAGCTCTGTTATTTATAAAGCCAGGCGGCAGCTGGACTTGGCCCTGCCCTGTCTCGATCCAATGGTCGCCTCCTCTTCCGTCACCCCCACACACCACCCCTCAGAGGATGAGCGTGCCCCCAGAACTGGGCGGGCCGCGATCCCCGTGTGCCGAGATCCTGGGCCTCGATCTCAAGTCTTGCCTTCTATCTGGATGTTTCTGTTATAGCCCAGTTAGATTTCAATGGTATATTTCACCCACAGTGTGACTCCCCCACATGGTACTCCTGCTGAGAATGCCTTAGCGTTGAGGTCTGAGTTCTGGAAAACACATCGAACTGTTTCTTTGTTAATTCCACGTGACTCACGTGCCACGTGAGAGGGTCACCTCCGGCAGAAGAGGCTCGCCCACGTGTGTCTGTCCATATAGGCCTCGTTTGCGCCTAATGCACGTGGAGAGTTGCGAACGTTTTCCTAACCCAAGTAGCTAAGAAATGCCTACATGGCCTAAATGTGCAAGTATTCTGGAAAGAATCCACCATTTCTGCAAAAGATTTCAAAAGGAAGGGCTGCACATTTAACATTTTCCCGTGTTGGCTCTCATTCCGTCTGGGGTTCTTCGGGCAGCCCTGGAGGGAAAGCAGGCTTGCATTCCCTCGAAATTCCTAGTTTTACATCTTCTGTCTTCGCTCGCTCCTTCAGATGCCACATTCATGAAATGTGGCTGTTCTTTGCAGAGCAAAAGAGCCAACCCAGAAGCTTCTGCTACTTTAGCATTCACAGCCTTGTGTGCTCGCCGAGACCCTGTGATTTACTAATGAAACAGGAAATCGTGTGAGAAGGAGCTGCGGGGGCGAGATCGGTCATGATTTGCGATAGAGGCCAGATTAAAAAGCGGCCACAATTTCTTTCCATCCCGAGTTTCCGTTTGAGTCCTCATACTCCAGTGTTTTTGCAACAGGTTTTATTCCATTTCCTTCCTTCCCTCCCCTTTCATTCATTCATTCATTCATTCACTCATTCATTCATGTGTTAAGCTCCTGCCATTTGCCAGGCACTGGGCTTGGAACATTGCAGGAGTCATGTTACTTATTCCTAACATCTTTGTGTTTAGGGGCTGCCATTGTTTTCATTTTGCAGGTGGGAAAATGGAAAGTCTGAAACATTATGATGTTTTCCCAAATAACTGGTCCAGAACATAAAACACGGGGCCACTTGACTCCCCAGAGCACCTATTGTTTCCCCCTCATCATGCTGACCCTCAGTGGGCTGGAGGTCACGAACACGTCACACCAGGGTTTCTCAAACTGGGTACCATTGACATGCGGGTCCTGGATAATTCCTGCGTGTGAGGGGCTGACCCAGTCTATCGCAGGGTGTCTAGCAGCCCTGGCCTGTGTCTGACTAGATGCCAGTGGCATCGCTCCCGATCCTTGTGACAACCAAAAATGTCTCCAGACATTGTCAAATGTCCCCTGGGGGCAAAATCACCTCTAGTTGAGCCACGGCAGGTGTCTCGAGCTCTTGAGGAATGGAGAGATGTCCGTCTGTCTGCCTCCTCTTTTTGCTCCTGTTTAGTCATCAGATGAGTATTATCAATAAAAGCAGCTGCAGAGGAAGCAGTGAGTCTTTCTCAGACGGCCGACGGTGAAGCTGAGTGAAGCAAACACACCTGATGGAAATAGTAAGACTTCACGCGCGCACACACCACACACACACACACACATACACGCACACACACCACACATACCACACATACACCACACACCACACATACCACACACACCCCACATACATACCACACACACATACCACACGCACACACACCACATCTCTCTCTGTCTCTCTCTCTGTCTCTCTCTCTCTCTCTCACACACACACACACACACTGAGAGAGTCTCTTTACCAGCGTTTCCTTTGTGCAAAGCCCTGAGCCCTTTGGCTTCTGTCAGATCCTTGAAGATGGCATTTGGCACTGAGCTGGGCCCCAAAAAAGTTTATGAATCAGTGAGTGAGTGAATGAAAGGCAGTGCAGTAGCAGAGATGAGATGCGGCTGCAGAGAGGCCGGTGAGTGTCAGGTGACTAGTGTCTCCATGAGGGATGGAGATGCTCAGAGCACAGAGTAGGGATGGCCGGTGGCCCCGGCCTTGGCCTGATGGACCATGTGGGATTTGGACATGAACAAAGGCAGGGAGGGCGCTGTCCTCAAGGGCAGAGGCCCACAGAGAGGCCCTGACCTGACCCTTGACCCTGTGTGAACGGGGTGTGGTCAGAGCTGGGGTTCAGAACGGTGCGGCTTTGAATGCTCCGTCACCCCCGAGTCTGAGCAGCCACGCGCCCTTGGCCCCCGCACCTGTTTCCTGGCCCGTGAAATGCGAAGACGGGCCCCCAGTTCCTTAGCTGCAATTCTGAAATCCCAAAGCTCTGAAAGTCAGAGAACATATTTTTTTGTAACTTTGCGGCAAACTTGTTTGATGGCAAAACGTGACCCGGAGCGACAAAAGCAATTATATTCCTACTCGGGCCTCTCAGTGGGACCCGTCCGTGCGTTTCGCCGCGGAAGGGCTGGATGTGTTTGCCGGTGGCACTCGGCTTCCGACCCCCTGGCAGACTGCACGTCGCTTATCTGTGTCCTTCCGCTCCTCTTAAAATCCAGATAATTCCAAACGGCGGCTCGCATCTGGCTGGGGCCCTGAGTCAGGGGCTGTGGGCCCGCGTTAGTGTCTCGGGAAGAGTCGGTGAGATGACAGTCGCGTGAGAAGGTATTAGAGCCACACGTGGTGCACCCAGACCTAGGGAAGAACAACCGTCTCTGCTATTTATCACTATTATTTCACACTGAAAACTAAACTAGACGTAAGCTATTGGGCCTCAATGAATTACCAACATTTTTAAAGTGCAAAAAGCAGTATTAAGTTTCCTAAAGCACATTTAGAATATTCCTGGTGAATAAAGCGCCCACTACTCTCTCATTCTCTCCCCCTCCGCCCCCCACCGCCTTCCCAACAGATAGCCCTCTGTTCGGTTTTGGGACATCTGCACCTTCTGTGACCATCGCTGCCCATGGTCAGCTACTGGGCAAGTCTCAGGCCATTCAGGTGGGCACTTCGTGGAAGCACGTGGACCAGTTCTGGGGAGTGCCGTATGCCGCCCCGCCCCTGGCAGAGGGCCGCTTCCGCGCCCCGGAGCGCTGGAACTGGACGGGGTCCTGGGATGCCACCGAGCCGCGGTAAGTCTGAGTGCAGCACACTGCAGTGACTTCCTGTCCCATTCTACTCCATCAAAGGGAGACCTGGGGACAGAGCAGAGCATCCTAGATTGAGGGGTGTTAAAGTACGTGCTCTGACAGATACCGCCCCGCCCCGCCCCGCCATGTCAGTGACTTAACATAATCTTGCTCCTGTAAAGTCCATTGGGTGATGGAGAGGCCAGCGTGCTCTGCTCCATGCAGGGATTCGGGGACCCAGGCTGATGGAGGCATTTTCCTGCCATAGCCCTAGGTGAGGCCATGCCTGCCTTGGGGTGCATACATCAATCACTTGCACCTCCTGGCCATGTTTGATTTCAGTGGTGCTAAGAAATACAGCAGAGAGGGAGTTAAAAAA